AGTGGCCACATCCTGGTCCGGGTGTTTCCGCATCTTATTCACTGTATGACCTAGAAGTAAATTAAAGATATAGAGTACATGGTAGCATTGAATAGGATGTTGGAATGTGGGGCAAAGCTGAAAAACATCTTTTTTCTTTTTACTGCTGCCACTGCAATGTAGAAATCCTGCTCAATGAAGAGCAATTGGTTGCTGTGGCATCTATTCCCAAACCAGAATTATTATTATTACTATTTTTTGAGACCCATTGTGACATGGAGATTTAGCAACAGAGAGGAATTGGGAGAAAGGGGGGGGGATCCAAATGTGGCTTTCCTAGAAATTGTCTACTTCGTGACATCTAAAATAAATTGAAAGCTATTTTGGGACTGTAACTCAGGAGGAGCAATTAAAATAAGCTCCATGAGCACAGAAGGGGAAAATGAAGAAGGCATTGTTCTGAATGCTTGGTGGTTTCTATGTTTGTTTGTGTGTGTGTGTGTGTGTGTGTGTGTGTGTGTATTTAGAGGTGCAGCTTGATTGACAGAGGGAAATATTTATCATTTGTAGAAATCCTAGGGTGATAATGCAAAGGGCAGAACCAGGACCAATATTAAACTTGACTGAACCCAGAATTTAAATAAGTATTAATTAAATCAGTATGATTACTCCCCACGTATAATTTTTCCCCTTTGAACATTTCAAACTACATCTTAGATGCAACTTCTCCAAAGACTCTGAGAGCTGCATCTTAAGTTAGTGGCTTTAATATGTGAACAGATAAGTGCTCGATTTACAACAGTTCATTTAGTGATTGTTCAAAGTTACAACAGCACTGAAAAAAGTGACTTACAACAGTTTTTCACACTTACCACCACTGAAGCATGGTCACGTGATCAAAATTCAGATGCTTGGCAACTGACTCGTATTTATGATGGCTGCAGTGTCTGGGGTCATGGGATTACCTTTTGTAACCTTCAGACAAGCAAAGTCAATGGGGAGGCCAGATTCACTTAATAACTGTGTCACTAACTTAACAACTGTGATGATTCACTTAACCATTGTGGCAAGAAGGGTCGTAAAAATGGGGCAAAATTCACTTAACAAATGTGTCACTTAGCAACATAAATTTTGGATTCAATTGTAGTCGTAAGACAAGGACTACCTCTTCTAAATGCTTAGCATTTTATAATTGAACTGTCCCAATTTCCCACAATTCTAGCTTCTCCCGACAGAATATAAAAAGCAAATTGTTACCTATTTTCGTTGAAAGCAAAATTTCCTTGGAGGGTATTTTCTTCTTTAACTCCATCAAGGCCTCAATTAGGTTCTCCTTAGGTTGAATTGAAAGCTCCAGTACGGATTTCCATCTTTTTATATCTTCTACAACTACCACTCTCTAGGAAAGAAACCCATCATTAGGAGCTAGAATGAGGCACACATATTTACTGCAAACTCATTTTCTGTGCTTTGTGTCAGCAAACAGTGCCGTTATTGCCCTCTAAATTATTGATGATGATGGACAGTCAAATACAGAAAATCGGATAATCCACACAGATGAGTACTTGTTTCACAGCAAGTCCCTGATATAAAGTGAGTGAAATCTAGAAAGCAAAATCAACTCATTAGGCTGCCATCTTCAATTCATTTACTATTCTGAAGAGAGTGCGTAGAGCAAAGACTCCTCATAAAAATATGAGAACGCCACATAATGTTGTCAACTACACGATTCTTCACTATTACCGAAACTAAACACGCACTTGCTTGCTTTTGCTCTCTTGGCCCCAAACACATATTAACTGTCATTCCCCCCCGCTACACTGCTGTATCTGTTTTGCATCGTTCATATTCTTCTGATTTATTCCTCTACAAAATAAAGTTTTTCACTGCTCTCTTCCTTATGAAATTATATTATTTTCTCTTCCTAAAGATTTTTCTTTTCTTCTGATTAATTTTTAAACTCTTCCCATTTCATTTAACTGTTGAAGAATAAACAAGTCACATAAATAATTAAAAGATTTCTCTTGAAGCAGCCTTGGATGCGATATGCTGAGGAAAACTTACCAAAAAAAGAAAACTGAGCAAAGAAAACCCCAACTAAAATAAATTTGGATGCTTAAAATTTCCTTTTTTTAGTAAGTGTTATTCTTAAAATAAAAGAGAAAAAATTAAAAGAACAATTTTTTTCAGATTATTGCTTTGTCTTTTGAGAGAAACTGCTAAAATTGGTGTTCATTGGAAATACTTTCTAAATATAGTATTTATATAATTTAAAATGCTACCCCATTAATGTGAAAATACATTACATTTTTCAAAATGCTCATTAATTTTTAAATTAGTTTGAATTAATTTCATTTTGACCTGATAGCTCAATTTTTCAAATGAATAATTTTACTTTACTAGGAAGAGTTATTAAAACCAGTTTTATGGGAGGCAAACAATAAATGTACTGAGTTGCTAACCAAGGTAAGGATCGCTGGAGAAGCTGTCTCATTTGATTTCCTTGCCTCCATTCTGAAAGGTATAAGCTACATTTGATATTATTACTACGTTTGATGTTATAATTCTTCTCAATATGTTTTTGCAGCTTCACTGAACCTCCATTTTGGCCAAACCTTCTCCAGAATGTTGTTTAATCCATTTAAAAAAAAAAAAAAAAAGAGCCTTGGTAGTACAGGGGTTTAAGGCACCCTGTTATTAAGCTGGTTATTAAGACCAGCTGCCTGCAATTACTGCAGGGTTCGAATCTCGCCAAGGCTTAAGGTTGACTCAGCCTTCCATCCTTTCTAAGGTAGGTGAAATGAGGACCCAGTTTGTGGAGGCAATAAGCTGACTTTGTATAAATATACAAAAGGATGAAGGCTATTGCTGAGCACATTGTAAGCCGCCCTGAGTCTTCGGAGAAGGGCGGCATATAAATCAAATTAAAAAAAAAAAAAAAAAAGCACAGGTGTCAAATTCACCACATCATATTGTCGTCACGTGACGTTTCGTGACATTTTCCCCATTCACGGAGCTGAGGTGGGCGTGGCCTGCACGGGACACATCTGGCCTGCAGGCCACCAGTTTAACACCCCTGATTTAAAATATAAATATTTTTTAAAACTTTAATAAAATTCATTCATTATTCTTTGAAAGGTTACTTGAGCTGATAAAAAAAATTAAAAAGTTATTTTTGAGATGTTTTATTTGGATCATATACTGAAATTACAGGGTTCCAGAAAAGTTAACAGTCAAGCTTGTGATATTTTTGTTAATGATATTTCTTTGTATGAAAAAAATAGGCTTTTCTTGTAATCCCCCCCATCCCCCCAGCACCGATTGCCCTATTGGATTTTAAATACATATTTTAGGAAACAGTTCTAGCTTTACAATTAATCCCCTCAGAAATACTGTCATGTTGTTTGAAATCAAAGAAAGAAATCTAAATTATTACAATGCAATTGCCGGTAGTATATTTGGGAAACTATCTGAAACTTACCTTTAGAGATTCTAACGTAGCTTGTTTATAAACCTTTTTCCCAGGATCGTTCTCTGTTGGTTCTCCTTTAGTTCTGGGTGTTCTTATAACAAATTTATCCATCATCTAATAATCCATAAACAAGGAACAAATAATTGCTTATAGCAAGACGGTAGTTCTGTATGAAAGGAGGGAGGGAAGGAAGGATGATGTACTGTCTTGGTCTTCCTAAATGAACTGAGATTAATTGTGACCTTGGAGTTTAAAGTAAAAGCAGAAAACCTGTAAATAATGTAAAAGCATCTGTGCTCAAAAATAATATATTTAATAATAATAATAATATTTAATAATAAATAATAATAATATTTAATAATAAATAATAATAATATTTAATAATAAATAATAATAATAAAACACGAGGCTTCAAATGTGTTGCTGTGAGCATGAACTGGGTACCATTAAACGATGTTCAAGCCAGATCGGGACCTCTTGAATTTCTGTCGTTGTTGAGAAGCACAGTTCTTGGCACTTTTCACTTGAGTTTTCTTATAAAGTAATAAATTAATTAGGTAAAAGATAATGGAAGACGAGCTGCATCTCACTTGGGAAAAAACATTATTTGTCCGATGCCTCTTAATTGCCGGAACTGCATCTCCTTCCGCTTCTCGCCCCAACCCTCCCCCCTCCCCCCTCCCACCACTGGAACTACATTTCCCAACAACGCTTCACTTTCAACCGACTTTCCGGCCCTTCCAGATTGAGCATAGAGTTATAAAAATTAGAGTAACCACATCCTTCACACGCACAGAGAGAGAGAGAGAGAGAGAGAGAGAGAGAGAGAGAGAGAGAGAGATACCTGCCTGGTGGTGTTTTTGTTATGGGAAAAACCATTCGCTGAGGGGAGGGAGGGGAAAGTCTATGAGTTTAACATAATGGCGATTGGACAGAGAATTAATTTACAAAGGAGAGTGTTTACGCTGTTACATGGTTGTGTGGCGCTACCTGTAAACGTATCTCTCTCTGCCATCCAATTGGTCAGTGTTTCTCAACCTTGACAACATTTTTAGATTTCAAATCTCAGGATCTTCCCCCACCATGTTGTCTGAGGCAGGGGTGTCCAACCTTGGCCACTGTAAGCCTGGAGGACTTCAACTCCCAGAATTCCCCAGCCAGCTTTGAAGTCCGCCAGGCTTACAGTAGCCAAGATTGGAGACCCCTGGTCTGGAGGATTCTGGGAGTCGAAGTCACCTATATTAAAAGTTGCCAAGACTGCTTAACTTTGTAGTAAGGGAAGAAGATGCCCCTGACGATGCATATTGATAAAATAAGTGGAATAAAACTAGGTTGCGAGAAAGACTAACTTTTCCCTTCCTTTGTAAGCTTTCTTCTCCCCTCTCCCTTTATTAATGTTTAAATTGTACGGCTAGTATCAGTGTAGTCTGTTCTGAGGTCTACTTTTTTTTCCTCGGGAGAGAAAAAAAATCGTGGCAGAGAAACCCGGAAGTCAACCAAGCGGTTCTAATCCATTCGTAGCTCTCTGGCGCTCTGGCGTCCAGTCGGAACTGGGAAACTCAAGGTGGGAGTAACAAAAACAAACAGTCGAGGGAAGGAGTTGTGGGGGGGCGGTTGGCAACAAGATGGCGGCGGCGCGACGGAACCGTTTAGGGTCTCTCCTCCTGCTGGTCGTTCTGGGCTCTGAGACGGCTTGGGCTGACCTGGAGCCCGCTCCGAATACCCTCTCGGAAGCTTTTGAGCCGGCGTTGGGAAACACGCTTCTGTGTCAACGGACGTGCCAGAGCACTTATCCGCTCCATACCTACCCCAAGGTAAGAAATGGGAGAAGCGGCGGGGGCGGCTTCGCCCCTAAATCAGCCGCGGCTGGGCAAATGGTTTGCGGGGCTCCTCCTCCTCCTCCTCTCGGGGGGCTGGTTAAATGGGGGGGGGGGAAAGTTTGTCGGAAGGAGGAGTCGAGAGGGGAGGTGCCTCTGTTTCCCCATGTGTGTGTGAACACACACACACACTTATTTATTTTTATTTTATTTATTTTGTCGAGTACGTAGATAATATATTATTATATATGTATATATAATATATTAGATAATATATAATATATTAGATAATATATATTATATATTATACACACACACACTTATTTATTTTTATTTTATTTATTTTGTCGAGTACATATTAGATAATATATATATTATTATATATATATAATATATTAGATAATATATATTATATATATATATAATATAATAGATAATATATAATATATTAGATAATATATAATATATATTATACACACACACTTATTTATTTTTATTTTATTTATTTTGTCGAGTACATATTAGATAATATATATTATACACACACACACAATTTATTTTTATTTTATTTATTTTGTCGAGTACATATTAGATAATATATATTTATATATATATAATATATTAGATAATATTATATATTATTTTATTTATTTATTTATTTATTTTATCGGACTTATATGCCGCCCTTCTCCACAGGGACTCAGGGCGGCTCACAGCAATAAGCGACTTAAATTCTCATTAAAACCCCATTCAGTCCAGTATATTATATATAATTATATATTAAATAATATATATATTAGATAAGCACGAATTGAATACATAAAATAAATACAATTAAAGGGAACATTAGGACAGGGACGGTAGGCACACTGGTGCTCTTATGCATGCCCTTTACAGACCTCTTAGGAATGGGGTGAGGTCAACAGTAGACAGTCTTAGGTTAAAAGTTTGCACGACAATAAAAATTTCGGGGGGTGGGGGGGGAGAGGTTTAGAAACAGGAAAGGACGCCATGCAGACAATATGCTAAAATGTTGTCAATGAAAGCAGGTTGGGTTATTATACAGGTAGTCCTCGACTTACAACAGTTCATTTATTGACCATTCAAAGTTACGACAGCACTGGAAAAAAGTGACCTAATGACCGGGGTTCACTTTGCAGTGTGCCTGGAGGGGGTCATGTGATCCGCTTTTGCGTCCTCCTGACAAGCAAAAGTTGATGGGGGAATCCAGATTCACTTTAACGACCATGTTTCTAACTTAACGAATGCAACGATTCGCTTAACAACTGCGGCAAGAAAGATGAGGCAAACTCGCTTAACAAGTGTTTCACTTAGCAACATAAATTTGGGACTCAGTTGTGGCCGTAACTCAAGGACTACTTGTACCATGGAAGCAGCCTCTGGTTCTTCCTCGGAGCAAGGCAGAGAGGCATCTTCTCGCTCCTGGCATGGGGAGCACCACTTTGGTTGTCCGTGAACCCCTTTAGCAAACGTAGGGCCTGCTTTTCTGAAGAGTGCTTCTCCAAGGTCTCAGGCTCGGTGCTGGTGCTTTCCAGATCAACGGTGGAATACAGGTAGTCCTCAACCTACGACCACAATTGAGCCCCAAATATCTACTGTTAAGTGAGATGTTAAGTGAGTTTCGTCCCATTTTGCGACCTTTCTTGCCATGGTTGTTAAGTGAATCACTGCAGTAGATCAGTTAGTAACACGGTTGTTAAGTGAATCTGGCTTCCCCCATCACTTTTGCTTGTCAAAAAGCTGCAAAAGGAGATCACATGACCTTGGGAGACAGCTACGGTCGTAAGCATGAACCAGTTGCCAAGCATCTGAATTTTGATTACATGATCACGGGGCTGCTACAAAGGTAGTAAGGGTGAAAAATAGTCATCAGTCACTTTTCATTGCTGCTGTAACTTTGAATGGTCACTAAATGAACTGTTATAAATCAAGGACTACCTGTAGAGCTTTCTAATCCCAGCTCAGATCATTGTCAGCTCAGGTGAGATGTAGGAGTTGCTACACATCGGGAGTGTGCCATATTCTGAAAGATTGAAATCCGCACAGACACAGACACATATTTTTCTCCTTTAATTTGTTGGCATGGAACAGACGACATTCAGTTGAACTTCTTTTTTTTTTGTAAGAAAGGAAAAGGAAGGAGTAAATTTCTTCCTCTGTATTGTTCCTTTCTTGGCCGATAGATGGGGCCCAACTGATCTACTCAGAATGAAACTCCAGTTTCTAGTTTATATTAATTCATTAAGCTATGAATAAGGTTCTCTGCTGCCTCCCTAATCTATGGTGGTAAGGATCATATTGAGTGGTATTTGCATATTCATGGCATCTTATTTATGTTTCTAGCACTTTTATTTGTATGTTAAATAGTGAAGGGAATATGAAATTGGAATACTGAGAAGTTGTCATCTTTCTAATATCTTACTGTGTTTCCCATACGACATGTCCCGAAAATAAGGCCAAGCTTGATTTTTCGGGTGGCCCTAAATATACGCCCTCCCCCCCAAAATAAGCCCTAGTGAGGGGCTGGGCATGGCCAGCACAGGAAGCAGCCCTTCCCTTCCCCGGTCACCTCACGGAGGTTCAGGCCCTTAATTGCTGCCCGCTGAGCCAGCGAGGGCTGTGCAACCCAGCCCAGATCTCCAGCTGCTGGCCTCCTCCCCCTTTTCCTGCCGATTGTTCTTTACTTGGGATTGCAGCCCAGACATACATCCCCAAAATGCTCCATCCGAAGCCTTCAGCCTTGCAATCCTGGCAGGGGCGTCCGTCAAAGAAAGAATGGTCTGCGTGTGTGACATAGAAAGAGAATGAAAGAGAGATCTGATCTAACCTTGCAGAGTTATCCAGGGTTGATAGCAATGTTCTCTCTGTCCCCCTCCCCTCTCTCACACACACGCACACACAGGTCCCTCATCCCCCAATCCTCCCAAGGCAGCCACATCCCTGCAAACTCCTGCACCTCCCGTACCTTCTGCCTTCCATGGTACCGACTGTGGACCTTGAGCGCCTGCTCCTGAGCCATGGTAGCGGCCCGCCTGCTCTCACCTAGGCGCTGCGTCTGCATAGCCTACACTACCAAGCCCCCCCCACACACACACAGCAGCAGCAGCAGCAGCAGCAGCTTCACTGCCCGGAGCTTCCTTGGCAGGGCGGCCAACAGCAGCAGAGACGCCTCCATGCACGGCGGGCAGAAGTTGGTGGCTGTGTGGTGGGGCAGTCAGGGAGAACTACAACGGTAGGCCTGGCGCATCCCGCAGCTGGGTGCTGGTCTCTCAGCAGAGATAGCTGAGGTGCTGCAGGTGTTGCTGGTGCCGCTGCCTCCGCCTGCGGAGGCCCTGGCCAGCCCCCTGCAGCCAAGCTCAGCTGCGGGTGAGGAGCGTTGGCCGTGGCTGGGCCGGCCGAGCTGTGTCTGTCGGGGCTGCCCTCGGCGCGGCTGCTGGGCACCTGGAAAGAGTAACGCTTCTGCTTTTGGCTGCATGCAAGGAAAGCAGCAGAAGCAGCAGAAGTCTTTCTTTTTCTCGCCCAAATTCTGCCTCTGCAGCTTCCAAATCCCAGCCAGGGCAGCAGCTGCTCTGGGAGTGTGATTCCCACTCTATGGTGATGGCTGGAGCTGGAGCTGGACCCTGCAGGGGGAGCTGGCTAAGGCCGTGGCTTCTGCACGGGTGCTGGTGGTGGGCGCCGGCGACATTGGCTATGAGCTCCTCAAGGACCTGGTGCTTACCGGCTTCGCCCACATTGACATGGTGAGGCCTGGGAGGTGTGCGAGCGGGGCGGGGACAGGCACTCGCACGGCTTGGTGCCTTTGGGCCACTCACGTTCTACACACACACACTGTGGGAGGGGAAGGGCTTGATGGCGGCTCACGGAGGGAGCCTCTCTCTGCCAGACTCCCGGCTGTGAGTGCGCAGGCCACCTGGGGCCTCCTGCACCCCCGAAATAAGACACCACCCCTGATAATAAGGCCAAGCCCTTATTACGGGGTTCAAAAGAAAATAAGACCCTGTCTTATTTTCAGGAAAACACGGTAATATTTATACATTTTGTATATAATTTTTTATTATAAACCAATGTATTAAACCATGGCATTCATCAACTGTTATATCGAACTTATCAAAACTTGGTCTTTCTGTTGAAAATGACATAGTGAAACAATTTGAAATATCATAGAAATTAAATTGTCCAGAATATACTTTATATTTTGTTATATACCGTATTGAGAACTTTTACAATAAGGTTATCAAAATCATTATGGTGTCTTTCTTGACATTTAATTATCAGGAAGAAGAACTCTATGCATGTCAAAGAGGTTGCAGATTATTTTCAATTTGTCAGTTTGTGGATGATGGAATTGATTTGAACCGGACCAAGATGGAATGTGACTCTGGTAATATAGTGAACTTTTTCAAGTTATAATAATTTTTTTCCCCAAATGTTTAGAGGAGTGTAGAAACATTTTGGTAACTTGGTAAATTGCAAGGAGGGTGTTGCCTAATCACAAAGGACACATAAGGCCTTCATGCAAATGAAATACAAGACAGAATGAGCCCCAAGTGCAAAGAAAAGATTAGCCCCCAAATCACAGCAAACTATTATTTCACAAAAGGAAAAGTGATCGAAATTAGAATATCTACCCTAGTTAACAGACAAACATACTGTAACTATCCCATTTTCAAACAGACAGACAATATATACTCTAGGCAAAACAGTTCCTATAATAACTGATGCAGAGCTCTACCAAGCCCTTCCCAGCTTACCAATTAGTGGTTAGAGCCACTAACAGCCTTCTGTTTTAGAAAGCCTTGTGGCTGGCTTCTAAAACTTCCTTTACCCCATTCTCCTTTCTGAAAAATTTTCAAGATTTACACATCAGAAAAAAGGGATATAATGCTTAAGCCATTTATTTTTATTTATTTAGTTCAGAGAGGTAAAAGTTAATTCAAAGGCTTATTGCCTTTTCACGAAAAAGTAATCGAATGGTTGATTTGGCTTATGACATAAGCCCAGTGAAGGTTTGCTTGCTTTCTGTTTTGATAACACTCTTCTGAAATCTTGTGCATTACAGTGTGGCACTTTATTCAACTGTAAACCCTACTGGCTTGACTAGTATTCCCCTCCCAAGTCAGTATGCATAAGAATAGACCCTTAGTTGATGTGTTGATACACATTTATGGAAAGTCTCTATTTTTCCCTTGTAATTTGTTTACATAGTTTTTCTGATTACATGCTTGCCTGATGTATAGTAAGTTACATCTCAAGAGATTTTAAAAAATAAAAGGATCTGCCTTCTACAAACAAAGGATCTACAGAAAGCTTTACCAAATTATTTCCCTGTGTCTCTTTTTAATATTCTGTCATTTAGTTATCTTGGATTTTGTTTACAGATTGTGAATGTTAAAATAGTTTGATCTCAGTTTGCATTTTTAAATACTGGCATGTTCTATTAGTATGGGTGTCAAGAAGTAGAGTCCAAAAATAATAGTATTAAATAGTGGTTTCATCTGTGCTTCATCACTGCTATGGAATCTGCAGTCCTTAAAACTGAGAGAATTGATGTTATTTTGCAGCATGTACTGAGGCATATACCTCCCAGTCTGATGAGCAATATGCTTGCCATCTTGGATGCCAGAATCAGTTACCATATGCTGAACTGAGACGTGAACAAGTAAGTAATCTCAACTGTTAAAGCAGAAGCAGTTGAAGTTCACTGCTTGTACTCCTATTCTGCAGCTAATTTACATGCATGTATAAAGAACACTTTTTTAAAAAAATCAACTTTTTATTTGTAGCTCATGTCCTTAATGCCAAAAATTCATCGACTCTTCCCACTTACCCTTGTAAGATCCTTCTGGAGTGATATGATGGAAACTGCCCATAGCTTCATTACCTCTACCTGGACTTTCTATCTTCAAGCTGATGATGGCAAAATACTGATATTTCAGGTACTTGCTAACTTGTGTCACTAGAATGTAAATGGGTTTGTACAAAGGTGCTTCCAATTCAGTTGTAAATTAAACTCTTGCCTATTTTTTTAATCTTAAATTAATTAGGTTTGTACTTTAAAATGCTTACGAACTAATGTATCTTGAGGAAGATGGGTAGCCCAGAAACACGAAAAATAAATATTTGTTTGTTTGTTTGTTTGTTTGTTTAAACAATTACAGGTAGATCTCAACTTCTCTCCAGAGAAGGGCAGCATATAAATTGAATAAATAAATAAATAAATAAACTTCAGACTACAATTGAGCCCCAAATGTCTGTTATTAAGCGAGACATTTGTTAAGTGAGCTTTGCCTCATTTTACAACCTTTCTTGCCATGGTTGTTATGTGAATCAATGCAGTTGGTAAGTTAGTCATATGTAAAGTTTCCTCATTGACTTTGCTTGTCAGAAGGTCAAAAAAGGGGATCACGTGACTCCAGGACACTGCAACTATCATAAATATGAGTTAGTTGCCAAGCATCTGAATTTTAATCATGTGGCCAGGGGGATGCCATAACAGTGAAAAACAGTCATAAGTCACTTTTCAGTTCCGTTGTAACTTCGAACAATCACTAAATCAACTGTTGTAAATCGAGGACCACCTGTAAATAAATAAAATAAATATGTGACTGCTTAAACTAAAATTATTAACTCCTGTGTATGATGATTTTAACTTTGTACACATCTTTTACACTAATTTGAAGATTTTATTATAATTTCAGTCCAAACCAGATGTTCAGTATGTACAAAGTCCTGATCAGGAAAACCAAGATTTGAAAGCATCTTCACTAGCTAAGACATCTTGTAAGTTACCAGAAAAAGTTGGGGACTATAACAGAAGTAATTGTGGATTATGAAAAGATGTTTTTATGCATTTATGAAAATGGTATATTTTTTAAATTAACGATTTAAGATTTCTTATCACCCTTTAATTGGTTTTCTGTACTGATGATAAGAAAATATAGAATTGAACATCAGATTAATTCAGTTTAATGACTAGAAACTCCATTATTTACACAAAAGGGGAAACTCGCTGTATGTGTGGCATGAATGAGTTCTGCCCCTCCAGAGTTCTGCTGGTAATTTACAAAGGCATTCATGCAAGTCTACTTCCTCAAGAAGAATTTCCTAATTGTAGACATACTGGTTAAGCATGTAGATGCCTTCCTAAATGTCACTAGTTAGACTTCAGAACAACTTTTAGTTTATATTAAAGCAGCTGAAGCGTATTTTTAAGTGAACAATAGCTGCCTTGGTGGCTGAACTCCAGCAGGACATAGCATGCTCATATAAATGTAAATATGCATATCTTTTTAGATGCTGTTTTCTTCCAGGACTTTTTTCTAGCAAAAGACAAACCAACTTTTTAGTTTTAGTTTATCAAAGAAAAAGCACAATGTTTAGCACAGTGATTTTTCTGGAAGAAATAAAGCTGGATGATTAGTAACAGTAATATTTACAACTTGAAAAACATGCATAGTAAAGCAGCTGAGTGTGCATATACACTTGTCATATTTTTCCTTTTTTAAAAAGCCTAAAGATGCAAAATGTATGGGGGGAATAGTTACAATTTTAAAAAACAAAAGCACAATTTTACAACTTAGGGAAAACACATGTGGCTGGATCCTATTTTGGAATAGGTCATTCCATTTTTTTCTTACCCGAAGTGAACTGAACTTCATTGATTCTAACAAAATTATGTGAGATGCAATGGTAATTATCATTTTGCTGTACCAATCTGTTGATTTCAGTGTATGTATGAGTGTGTCAGTGTGTAAGCCACATCAGTCAGACTAATGCTCCACAATTTATTTGCTTATGCAGCCTGTACAATTTTGCTGCTTTTGAAAGGTGACAAGATCATATCTAAAATATCTACAATACATTATAAAAATTACCATACGAATCACTGAGAATGAAAAACAGTCATAGCAAATACTTTTAATTAATTATATTCAATCATGCCAACACATTGATGGATTTGTTCAATCTGCAAATGCTCTATGAAAATATTTCAAATAGGGTATAATACAAGTTTTCTTTGGCATTTGATACCCTCTGTTTAACTTTTTGTTAAACTTTGCTTAACTTATTATTCCAGAATAATTTAACACATAGACTGAAAGGTGCAAAGGTTTGCTTTATATACCTATGATTTCATGATTAAAAGCTCAATAAAGTTTTATTATGATTTTTTTCAGTAGACTTACATTTGGGAGGACCACATGCACGTAAAGGATCTTTTGATGAGGATGAAACTGAGAGTTTCTTCAAATGTATTTCAATGTATGTATTTTTGGTATATGGAGTAATAGAAAAGCAGTATCTTTAGTTACCTACATTTAAGTTGACTAATTAACACAGTTAAGTTTTGACTTCTGTTGAATGATTCTTGACCAAACTTTTAAGAAATCAGCACCTGGTTATTTATGCTATACCCAGTTGTTCTGTAAAAGTAGAAAGCTGCACCATAAAGCATCACTTTTCCCTTCTCGACTGACATTCTTTATTTTTCACTGAATACTGCTTTCAAATCCAAGCTGTTCTGTACTATTGTTCTCTAAGTGATATCAAATTGAAGCAAAGCTGTGTATAATGTTGCTGGCTAAACGGAGTCTGAGATATGCTAACATGCCTATTATATTAATGAGAAATTGTTTTGTTGGTTTACTTTAGATAGTTATGGGTATTAGCTATGGAGCAAAGCATGATTTGACATTCTAGCTTGTCGCAAGCATTCCTGCTTCAGATGAAGTAAAAATTTATGATTAACTAAAGTTTTTTGAAATTGTTTCAGTCACGATGAGGAGAAAAGACATAATACATACAGAACAGATTGGACTATTGATGGATAAGATCTGAGTGTACAGTATTTTCAGTCACAAAAATGCTTTTTTACTTTTCTAACAAAGAGTGAGGCATTACTGGCAAGCCTTTGAATTTTTTACTTCCCCTACTTTTATTCCTCCAAAAGTTGTGGATGCTCCAACACTGGAGGTTTTTAAGAAGAAATTGGGCAACAATTTGCCTGAAAGGATATAGGGTTTGCTGCTTGAGCAGGGCATTAGTCTAGAAGACCTCCAAGGTCCCTTCCAATTCTGTCATTCTTTGGAGTTGGGGGGTTGGAAAATAGGTATGTCAAACCTCTTCTACTGCCTTTTTTCTAAATGAACAGTTATGCCAATTAGTATTTGGCTTTATGTTGGCTGTCTGTAATCATTCCTTACCTAAAACGGAGGCCATTTGAAATTCCTAAATTTTCAAATATACTCTTCTGAAACTACATTCAGGTTGTTGGGTTTAAATGTAAGAGCAAATTAGTTTTCAGTCAGGGAAATAATGTATAGAAAATATTTTCAATAAACCTCCAATTGTTTTAGGAATATTCTGTTTTCTTACCTTCTAGGAATTCTGGTTGGATATTAACAACCACTCTTCTCCTGTCTATACTTGTGTTGCTGTGGATTTGTTGTGCAACTGTTACTACTGCTGTTGAACAGTATGTTCCATCTGAGGTAAATTGTTACTTTATGTTATGCTATGGCTTTTATTCAGATTCTTTCTGATGGAAATATGTGATCAAATAAACCTGTTGTTAGGGTTTGTAAATAACCCAAAATTATTCATAAATAAAATTATTCATTTCATAAAATAAGCATGCAATTTTAATATCTATTTGGTTTGTAAGAAATATTAAGAAAGGGGCTTCATTAAGTGCGAAACACAGTGATCTCTCAGGGACTTATGGCCATCTTGGGAGCCTCCATATATACATGGCATACATGTATCTCCACAGATAATAGTTCTGTTGTGAAAGCTGCAATTAAATGGCCCATTTTAATCCCATTTTGTTTTCTTTTTCTAGAAGCTGAGTATCTATGGAGACTTGGAGTATATGAATGAACAAAAATTGAATCAATATCCAACTTCTGCTCTTGTAATAGTAAAATGTAAAGCTGATGAACAAGAAGCAGGACCTCTGCCTACAAAAGTTAACTTAACTCAATCAACAATATAAAATGGAAAAACAGATTTATTAATCTAATTCTTTGACTTCTGTTAATTCTGGTAGCTTTTTTAAATTGAAGAGGCCTTGGAATAAGTTAGCTAGTGTTTAGATTCAAACAAAATTGCAGAATCAAAGAAGGAATGGAATTCAGCCTCTTTCAGCAGTCAAGCAAATCACATGGGGTACAAGGAGTTTGTAGCGCATTTACACTTGTCTATGTTTTCTTAGATTACTAAAAGTCCTAAGTATTTGTCTATGCATTGACATTTGTATATTATGAACATATGTCAGAAAATATATTTGGAATCTGTTTCAAAAAGTGTAATAACTTTTTGGTAGTCAAAGGCACTTTAAGTTATCTTAGCTGTGGATAAATTAAATGACTGGAGCATAGCTTGCAAACTCTTTACCATTTCAAACATCTCTTTTTCCACAACTAAAAATAAATTTTTGTTAACCTTATGCCTGTTTCCTCTGTTAAAATAATTGTGGGTCAGAAATAAACTTTAATAAAATCCTTCTAGATATTAGAGTGTCACTTGCATTGCATTCCATAACAAGCCTTATAAAATTAGACAGCATTCTCTGTATGAAAGAAGAATATGACTAGAAATCTTGTTTGACTTCATCTATGAAATATTTAACATGAACTTAATGGACTTATAAGTAGAAAACATGATTTTCCTCTCAAAAGTTCTTCCCTATCCATATTTTTATGTTCTAGAAAATGCAATTGAAAGCTATTGCCTTTAAAATTAAATTTGATATATTCATGCGTGTTACAGTGGAAATTTGTTTAGTGTTAAAAAGAAGGCTCTAAAATCTTTGTTCCATGTTAATAGAATATTTTGGAAAAACACCCCTGAACAACTACAAAAGGCTGAATATTATCTCTGGACTGTTTTTAAAAAACAAATATAACTCTTCTGAGCATTAGCTCTTAGTATACATGATAACTTCTACTATATTAATTATTTTTGTTTTAATTTGCAGGCATTAATTAAATTGTTCTAATTACTTCAACTAGAATTGCTTTACATTATTTCTTTTTGAATTCCAACTCTATGATGTTTCTGTCTCTCAGGTGCAGCTTTAATGCTAAACACAGGTTACATTAAACATACCTGTGTAGGTTGAAAGAAAGTTGTATATTCTCTTTAATGTAATGGAGGCTCTTTAATATATTACAATGAATTTGTTCAGTGTGAGAAACATGAACAAAACCATAATCGTCATTCTACAAAAAAATCATTAAAAGAGCCAGTTTTTATAATATTCAGCTTTTCTTTCTTTAGTAGGCAAAGCCTACTTCAATGATCTTATTATACAAAACGTAAGGTTCTGCTCTGAGAACAATTCTGAAAATTCCTCAAGCGGGTTAGATGGGAGAACTAAGCCTTTCTATGCTAGATAATCTCACAATAGAAGCAGTCTCTAATTCCCTGCTATGAATATATCACCATAGCCTATTAAAAATGAAGCCAATTGTATAGGATATAGGAAATAGAAGTGCAAAAGTTTCAAAAGCTAATGAACCTGCTAATTAAAACAATTCCCAGAACCTCTGATCAAAAAACTAGTAGAAAATCTAGATTTGAATGAATTTTATTTTTTGCCCTTTATCTCGGAATCTCCAGGAATAAAATTTGAAAAAACAGAGAATATGGTTTCTTGGGGGGGGGGGGGTTAAAAAGGAAAATACTGTGTATCACAACTTTTCAAGATCATTTTGATCCTAATGTAAACAAGTATAAAATTATATGTGCTTCAAAATATATCTCGAAATAAGAAAATATGTGTTTCAAATTATACCTCAAAATTAGTTTGACCTAGTCATGCTCAATGAATCTGTTTTAAGCTACAGTGAGATATCTGAATCTTTCATAACTATAGAGATCTACAAAATACATCTATTGTGAATGTGGTTCCCAGTACAGATCATCTCAGGCAGAATGTAGATATTCCCAATCTACACATTCACAAGGCAAAAAATGCTCACGCACACAGAATTATTCTGGCCGTTCCCTCTTTGCTGGAAAGAAAAACATTTGGAGTTATTTTAAATTCTGGCAGAACTCCATAATCTGCACTGAAGCAAGTCATAGCTGTGATTTCCTAGAACTTCTCATTACAGTGTGGATGTGTCTGGGACCTAAGGATGTCCAGCTAATTAAGATACGAAAAATCTTATGAGAACTATGGTTTTGAATAAATTTAGCCAAGAATCTGCAATAAGATGAGTGTTTTTCACTGTATTGTGATAAGTCTCCTGTTTTAAGGAGACTGATCAGGACTGAGGCTTAAATACCTAATTCTATAATTTAATCAGATAAATAAATTATAGAATTAGGTGTTTAAGGCTTAGTCTTTATCAATTTGGGCACCAAATTAATTTTAGTGTAATTTGTATTGATTTTTAAAAACGTATCTAGGAAGTGAAGATACCATGCGAGTCACTCACTAGAAGATAAATGATTTCATTTGCGAAGTACCATAATTTGCCATTATCCCCAAGGTAGGAAGATTGAACTGGGATGTGAACTCTAGAAAGATTTTGACACAGGCATATCACCGGTTTTCCATCCTATAGCTTATTCTGTATGCTTTATTTAGATCCTCTGCAAAATTAGTCCTCTGCACTTATTTTAAGTAAATCTGAGGTTAAATTTAAATGCAGAAAGATCTTCAGGCAATTTTTAAAGATTGCTCTTTCCACAGCAAAATAAATAGATTCTTATCTCAAAATTTAAATAGATTATTTTTTTCTAAAATTCCAGTTACTGTGACAATGGGCTGTATATTAATTAATCTGTTACATATAGACTGAACACCATATGGATGTTATTAATGTACTGTACTGTATGTAGTAATCCCCAATATGATGGGGATATATGTAGCTCGAGGCTGTCTAGTTGAAAATCACTTGTTAGAAATAAGATACTTCTGTTCATTTCAAACAGCTAAATCCATGCTGTTTAAAAAGTATCTTCTTTAAATTTTTTAAACATCTCATACCATTAAAGGTTATCCCAAATTTAAAAACTAAATTGGTGTTTTTCCTATACCAATTACGTTATAAATTACACTGGTCAAAGAGACAAATCCAGTTAAAAAAATTGCAACTATGAACTACTTCAGTAACAGTTCTAGGTTTGGCTAATTAAGAACCAAAGCCACAGGTGAGCACTCAAAAATTGAAAAAGTATGCTCACATCATGTGTTTATATCATTATAGCTTTACAAAGGGGTTTTGTTTCACAAATGGTTGTCTTTACATATAAAGAAATAATTTAAAAGTTAAGTTGGGTTATTTCCTGACCTTTCAAAGCAACATCATTCTTGCCTACAATTAGTTTGTTCTTGCCTATAAATTATTGCTATTTATGAAATTTACTTACCGGTATGTGTCTAGCAGTGGCTGAATCATCATTGGTAATTTTCTTTGAAGGCTGAAAAGCACAACATAAACTAAAGGGGATTTTTCCCTCCTTTATGCTTACTTCTGTTTTCTTCAATATGATAGGGATGAAGTCCTACATAAAAGAAGAAAAGAGTCATTCTCTTTTGTTCTTTTGTTTCTCTTAGTAACCAGGTAACCCAACCCCAGGTATGTAATCTGGTGGCTTGGTCTCTTAATCAACACACCACTTAATAAAAGCTAGCTCCTCTTTCTGTCTTGAGTAGTAACACCACTTTAACACTGATGTTTGAATGGTTAGAACAATTTTCTCTTTCTTGTCAGTATAATCCAGCTCGGCTTCTAGAAGGAAAATGAACAGAACTTACCCACAGGTAATCAGCCATCCCTTTAGGATAATTATAATTACTCTTATTGGATTTAAATAACAATTTTTCTTTCCTGCAAACAAACTACAAATGCTAGAATATCATACGCAAGTTACTTTAGTACCATAGCAGAAAGTTGAATGAAATATAATTGAATATTTTTATATTTACACCGTTCTCCAAATATGCATAATGATGTAGTATTTTTTAATTTACTTCAGTTATTTTTCTTGTATCCCTCAAGGTTTCTTTAATTTGATCTCAGCATTAATACCCTGTGTAATGACCCAAAAGTGCTGCAATGTGCTTCATGGTTATGCATCTTCAGAGCTCCTGAACTTGGCCTCCTGGTCCAAATCTACTGCCTTAACTGATGTAGCTACTAAAGTAGTTACTTGCTTTAAAGATCTTGGCTCAATATTTATTTTATTTTTATTAATTATAGAATATTGATACGGATTCACTGGGTTCAACCAAATTCCATCTCACTGATAAGAAAGGTAAAAAGTTCTGAATACTTATTCAGTGACAAAGTACTAGATGCTTATTATGTATGTTGAAGTGATTTTTTGGGGAGACTAGAAAATACAGTCACAGCACACGAATACACACACACAGTTAATGTTGTCATATGAAATTTTTACAGTTTTGAATTAGAAAATTGTTAACGGTGTATAATTATGTTAGAAATAGAAAAATGCTACCCATTCAAAAATGACTTCTCATAGATTACAACTAGGAAATGTATATTATATTATGAAACTTGGAACAGAGAGAGGTATCATTATCTAATTCCATATTAAATGTTAATTTAATCAATTTAACAACATTTGTGATTTAAGTGTAACTATTACTACATTTTCCAAGATACTAGAATAGTGGATGGATAGATGGATGGATGGACAGATGGAAAATGTGGCTGTACAAATGGAAAACAGGATAGCATTTTTAAATATTATTATTCATTTTTCACTTCTTTATATGCATATATTCCCAATCCTACTAGCTGAGGATTCTGTCAGTGATAGTGCAAAACAACTGGAAGACAAGAAATTGTACAAAGATGTACTAGCATTTTACAATTTTGAGTAAGAGACTTTGTAGAATTTCAGGATAGACTCATAGCATTATAAAAGGATAACAGTTATTATTTTACTTAATTTTTCTAAAACATTTATATGGCCACCCAACTCACACAAGACATACAAAAAGGGAAAAAATCATAACCAACAAATACAAAATCAGCATATACAATTAAAAGCTAATAAACAAAAATAAAAAGAGGTGATTGGGGCAGAGGTATATTATAATTCCTCAGCATGGGTCTCTACACACCTGATCTGTCGTACAAGAAGAGAAGCATGTCTTCCCTGCCTTTCTAAAGGTCTGTAGGATGATACGTACATCCATATTTACGCTAAAGAAAAAGAGACATATGCACTTGAAAAGGAAATGGGAAAAATAAATGACACAATTTTCTCTGAATAACATCAATGGAAGGATCTGATATCACTCATCGGTACAGAATAACAGTAGAAATATTGAGAAATTTATTCTCTGTTAAGCTACTTAAAGATTGGAAAACTAAACCCCAAAATGTGATAAATATATTTCTCTTGGGCTTGGAATCCTGTTTATTTCCTTAGTTTTCTTGTAGTGTTAATTGCACAAGAGGCATAGCTTGGAACACACCCTTTACCTACAAAAGAATCAGATTCAGTCTTCAATCTGTCCATTTAGG